AGCCTCTACCTATTCCAACCGGTCCGGGAGACTCTGTGTCCATTGACTTTATGGACACCAAGATAAAAAGCAGGAATGGAAAGACACAAGTCATGATCATCGTCGACAGATTTAGTAAGTATGCTGTCTTCGTAGCTTTGCCGGCGGAAGCAAAAACGAAGCTGGTAATCCGGGAGTTCTTTAACCATTGGGTGAAAGACTATGGGCATCCCTTGACAATCGTGAGTGACAGAGACACAAGGTTCACAAGTGAATGGTAGTAGCTAATGAACGTCTATGACTCTAAGTTGGCTATGTCTTCAAGTAGACATCCTGAAACTAACGGGCAGACTAAGCAAATGAACAAGATTTTGCAGCAAACGCTGCGCATGTACATCCGTCCCGATCAGATCGACTGGGACGAACATTTGCCCAAAGTTGCTGATGCCTACAATAACTCTGTTCATCTGTCCACATGCAAGACTCCGATGGAGTTACATTTGGGATGGCGTCCGCGCAGGCCTATTGATCGGCTAAACCCGGATCAAGTGCATAAGCTTCCACTAGGAACTAGTGAATTTGCGATTCAATACCAGAGAGACATTGAAAAGGTAAAGGAAAATATTGCCAAAGCACAACATCAGATGATTGAGCAGGCAAATAAGCACAAAAGACCTTCTCAGTTTGTTGTAGGTGATCTGGTATGGGTTAAAACTAAGGAGTTCGTTCCTGAAGAAAACATCTCTCCGAAGTTGCTACCAGCCTACAGAGGACCTTGGCAGGTTCTAGATGTGACTGGTGATGTGGATGGTCCTTCGTATGTTATAGAGATTCCTCTACATCTACATACGTATCCAGTGTTCCACGCTTCGAAACTCTTACCCTGCGTGACAAATGAACTATTTCCAAGTCGCAGATCGGCAATACCTCCTAGTATGGATGGGAAGTATGACGTGGATAAAATCGTTGCTGAAAGTACCTTTCAGACTGGACGTAGAGGCAGACCACAGCGGCAGTATAAGGTGAGGTTCGCTTACCAGGATCCAAGTGAAGATCGCCGGTTCACGCAAGAAGAACTAATGGATTCTGCACCTCATATTGTGTTTGCATATGAAAGAGCAAGAAGAGGAATCAATATTATTGACAGGTAGATAATTTCTCAGAGGACTTTGAAACTAGGCCGGCGAGAGTAAAAGGGCCTTTACCCGATTCAGCCCCTGACTGACGGGTGCAGCACAGTGGGGTCACTCGCCCAGAGCCCCAACTCGTGAAAAGAAGATGAACAGGCATGTTCTCTGGGTCAAAAGTCACATCCCAACTAAAGGAAAAGTCAATGCTAAAGGTCACAGTTGTGTCCCTGTGAAACAGTTTTCACCTTTGGCAGTAGTCGATGCAGATCCCAGGGGTCGATCCCTTGACCTCAGCTTACCTGTGTACAGTATCTGCACAGTTCCCTGGAATTGAACCCGTGACCTGCATGATAGCCAATGGTAAGTAGGTCGCCGTAGGTTGTAGGCTGTAGGGAGATTCGAACTGTAGACCTGTAAGGTAGGAGTCCAAGTAGAGTCCAGAGGCCTAGCTTTAGTCCTTCTAGAAGGTCGGCAAGTGGTCAAGTGGTGAGTCTAAGGTAGGCCCACGTTTTCAGACGAAGACAAGTGGCAAGGTCAACAGGTAGGACCTCAGTGCAACTGCACTGAGTCGACGGTACGACTGCCTACAGTCAGCAGAAGGGTCTAGAGAGTCCCAGTCCAGTCCAGCAAGTACCACAGGGGGACTGTGAGCACCAAGGGCCGATGGCAAAGGGCAKACCAATGAATTTCTGAAGTATAAATCAAGAGGCAGCGCCCAGCCATTCATTCATTCCTGCGTGAGCCATGCAGAAGCGCTGCCACAGCGACTTGTGCAAGGAGGTCTGCAGATGAGCCCGGAGGACGCAGTGGGCAAGAGAGGAGGAGTTAGCATAGCGATAGGTTAGAGGCAGCCATAGCTGCCATAGCT